CCATGAAGCTCGCGTACCGGGTGAGCGCCGGGCCGGTGTGCGGGGCCGCCCGCGCCGCCCCGCGCGCCCCTCACCGGCCCCTCTCTTCTCTCCCCCGCGCAGTTCTCCGGCCTGCTGGGCACCGTCTACCGCCGCGGGAACCTCTGCTTCACCCGCGATGGCAACGGCCTCGTCAGCCCCGTCGGCAACAGGATCTCCCTCTTCGACCTCAAGAAGTCAGTGAGCCCCGACGGCTGCCCGGCCGCCCCGCCGTGCCCTCCCGCGGAACCGTCCCGTCTGTTTTCGGCTGTGCTTCGGAGGGAGGAGCGGGGGCTGGCGTTTCCTAGGGCTCCTGGCCTTCCCAGAGCAGCCTCGGAGGTTTCAGGCCCAACCTAAAAGGCTGGATAGAGCCCCCCCTGCCAGGGTATTGCAGGGTGCTGCATTTTGTGTTCCTATTTCCCACATGTTTGTGAGAGGAGCAATGTACGCGTGTGAAACAGCATTTTGGAAATATGAGGGAAAAATGGGTTGTGTTTAATCTGGTGGTGTAGTTTCCCTATATTCCCGTCTGGCTCGTACTGCATCTCATAAATGGGAGAATGTAGGTCCCTTGTCCCCCTGTCCCTAGAGGCAAGTGTTGTGACTGACTCCTGTTCTGCCGGGCTTGTCTCACATACGTGGTGTTTGCAGGGCTGCGTCAGTCGAGCGCTTTAATGCTGCCTTGGTGGTTGTACTCTTAAGTTGGTTCAGTGCATTAAGGTAGAAATCAAGTTATACCTTGCTGATGATAAAAAAAACGGTTGTTTGAACGATACCCCAGTACTCAGTTCATTTTATTTATCCCTCTTTCTTGCAGTAACAAGTGTGAAACGCTGCCGTTGGCTACACGGCACAACATCACGTGTGTGGGGCTCTCTCCAGATGGAAATTTTGCCATACTAATTGATGAAGGTATTTGCATTTTCTAACAGGCGAAGAAAAGAGGGGGAAAAAAAAAAACCCTCTAAAAGTCTGTTTTGTTGGGCACTCAACCTTAACACAAATTAAAAAACACTGTACTTTAAATTTGTTAGAGTCTTTGGAAAAGGTTTCTTTCCTTACAGAAGCTGGCTTTCTAAAATGAGATTTGTAATTCTGATTATTTTTTTCTTCTCAATGCTAGTAAGCATGTTGCCTTGTAAAGTCTCTGAGAGAGTACTTTTTCTTAACAAAACTAAAAAGGTAAACTAGCTAGGGTTCTGCTTGGGCAGGAGAGCTGAATAATTTCAGTGCTTATTTCTTCCGTTACAGAGGGAGCTGCTTTGCTCGTCAGTTTAATTGGTAAATCTGTGATACACCAGTTCCATTTCCATAAGCCAGTGCATAGTGTCTGCTTTTCCCCTGATGGCAAGTAAGTGGCGTGTGCGTGTTTCAGAACAAACCCATAGAAGTTACTCCATAAGATAGTTGTAATTAATCTAAAGACTGACTGATTAGGGAGTTATAATTGTTAATTCATAATTCAAGCTGGGTTAGAGCCAGTGTTTCTGTGAAGCTGAGATGGGGAGAGGAGTAACAAAGCTTGGGAACCTGAACCTGGCTGAAAACTTGTTTTTCATGGGTGTCCTCCACAGAGGAATTCTTAAAACTGAGCAGCTTTGCTGTACCTGCTAACTGTTCTTCCATGTTCTTCACTGTGCTTAAGTAACACAAAAAAGACCCAAACATTTTAATGTTGCTTTATTACATTTCGTTACATTACCTCCTGAGCAATTCTTTGTTTCAGCAACTTTGAGTATAATTATGCTTCCCCCTCCTCTACTCCGCTGTTTGACAGGAAATTTGTGATTACAAAAGACAACATTGTTCTTATGTACCATGCTCCTGGAAGAAAAAGAGAATTTAATGCATTTGTTCTGGACAAAACTTATTACGGTCCATACGATGAAACAACATGTATTGACTGGACTGATGATTCCAAGTGAGTTGTTAAACTAAAGCAGTACCTACCATTTCCCTTTGCTAATATTTTTGTATGTGTGATGATATATTGTGTTCTCTGTTCTATGGTTATTTTTCTAGCAGTAAAAATGCATTATTCACTTGTCATTGTCTTTTAAATTTAAAAATATTGTTAGACTAGAAAGTATGAAAATATACATTTTCCTTGAAAATGCCCCGTTATCTATAAAGCAACGTGTTTTTAGAGAGTCATCCGTGTTCATGCTTTAAATATTTAATCTCATAGACCTCTGTTGGCGTTGCCATCTTTAGAACTCTATTGTGTCGTTTATTGTTAATTATTGTCTGTTAATGCGGAGGCGCTGGTCGCCGCTTCCAGAATGTTCTCTGCTCAGTGACAAGTCTTGCAAATCCACGTTCTAATCCAACATGGCTTTTCTTTTGCAGATGTTTTGCTGTAGGGAGCAAGGACATGTCAACCTGGGTGTTCGGAGCGGAGCGATGGGCAAACTTGATCTATTACTCACTTGGAGGGCATAAAGATGCAATAGTAGCCTGTTTTTTTGAAGAGAACAGTCTAGATGTAAGTGTGTGATCATGCTATGTTCTTAAAATATTATAATAAAATACTTGTAGCTGTGTTTTATATCTGTAGATAAGGATGCTGAGTTTCAGGTTACTATTTTGCTATTTTCCTAGAAATTAGAAAAAATATAGGTAATACCTCTTTTGACTCATATTTTGATCAAGAATCTGCAAATTTAGTTATAATGCCCATTTTTACTTGAATAGTTGAATATGTGAATGTTAAAGGGAGAGTAAATTATTTTCAGTTGCTTCAGAAAAAATGTTATCATTTTAAATGCTTACAAAAAAGGTAGTTAACTGTAGCTCGCTACCAAATTGCCTTGCCTTTTCAGAAATTTGTTGAAGGCAGAGAGCAGTTGATGTGGAACAAATGAGTTAGTGTTTCAAATCAAAGCTTGTGGACTAAGTAAAATATCTCACCCTAATGGTAGCAGGCAGTCTGGCTACTGCTTCTACATTTGTATGTTCATTATATCAGGGCAGCAGATGATGAAGCAAAGGTACTGTATGGTCCCAGTAGCTTTGTGGGGTTTGTATTGCAGCTGTACACAATTAGCCAGGATGGGGCTCTCTGCGTGTGGCAGTGTGATACAGAGCTGGATGGTTTGAAGCCCATGCCCCCTAAAGGTGAAGCAAAGGAAAAGAAAGAAAAAGATGATGATGAAGATTGTTTTGAAGAACCTCGGTGTGAAGAAATTCATGGAAAAGACAATCCAAATGAAAAAGAGACCAAAGAGATCAGAGAGAAGGTTAAATATTCTCGTGTTGCAAAGTAAGTGATTTTAATTTTTCTAAAAACAAAAGTGAGATTTTATTATATTGGGCTCTTTTTCGATCTCTGTCACTCTTTCAGTGTGGTATAAACCATTGCCCAGGTCCTAGTAATTCACCATAAATCTAATTATAAATGTTTTCAGTAGAAGCACCTGTTTGTCTCGCCTTGAATATACCAAAGGCAGTAACCTTCATCTTCAAAATAACTCAGTTTTGCCTTGAAGCTGTGAGTTCTTGCAGAAAGACCTTGGTTAACTTGGAGAGGTGACGGCAGCATTTGTTGAAGATATGTAACTAGCCTGTTAATATCGTATTTAAAGGTGCCTTTCTGACAGGCCTCCCTATGTGTTCCCATCAAAGGGCGTGTGTCTCTTAGACAGTAAGTGGACTGGTATTCTGGACAGCCTACCCCTGCCCACGTTGGAATGAGCCTTCGTGAACATCCCTGCCAGAGTGTAAAGGAATTTGGAATACACAACATCTGGGCGATGTTCGGATGCTCTTCTGTTTGACCATCATGCCGTGCTTAGCTGTTTAATTCCACTAAAAGCTAGAAATGTAGAGAAACTGAGAAAAACGTCAATGTCAGTAAATGACTCTAGTACTTCAATTATTTAATCTGCCAGAGAACTTAAATATGCAGGGGTAGCCACTGTATTTTAAAGCCGGAGTTGCTGGTATCAGGTGACAAAAAATGTAATTCTTCTGAGTTTAACCTAAAGTGCCTTTCATTGCAAGGCACCAGGTGTTGCTTCTGATAGATTACACTGCTGTTACAGCTGTAAGCATTCAGGGAAGGGAAAAGAAAAGAACCATCTAAAAAAAACTAGCACTGTAAATTAACATATGTTCAGGAATTTCCAGAATTACTATTGTTTCACTTTAATGTAGTATGCTTTTGAAGTACTTGATTGTTTGGAAATGCTTCTTTCTTTCTTTCTTTTTTTTGTTGCACAGGCATTTTTTCAATAAAGAGGGTGATTTTAATAACCTCACATCTGCAGCTTATCACAAGAAAACACACCTTCTAGTCACAGGTTTTGCCTCTGGAATCTTCCACCTCCATGAACTTCCCGATTTCAATCTGATCCACTCCTTGAGGTGAGATGTTCTTTTCTGTTTGTTTTACTGGAGTTGGTGGGACAAGGGGAGAACGCAGCGTGTTTAGCAGTGAAGAATGAACATCAAAGTACAAACTTTTTTTTTTTTTTTAATTGGTATAATATCATAATTGCATTTCTAGAAATAGGGATATTCTGATTCAAGAAAAAAGTAATCATTCGTAAATTTATATAATAAATGCCCCACAACTACATTCCATAGATTATTACAGAAAAATGAGGACTGAATAGGAACGCTTGATTATTTGCTGGCCATAGATTTCTTTGAAGCTTTGGACACTTTGGCAGTTTCCATACAGCAAATATAAATAATAGTGGGGGAAAAAAATGTGTGTATGTTCGTTTCTTTGGTGTTCTTGAGTATGAAAAAGGATAGAACTTTTTTGCTGCTCTAGGTTTTATAGAGCTATAGAAAGTCAGTAAAATAATCAAAGATCTTTCTTGACCTGAGGAAACTGACTCCAGTTTCTAACATGTGAAAGCTTACTAGATGGGGTTTGAAAATGCAAGTTTATTTACTGAGTGATTCTTTTAATTCCAGCATTTCAGATCAGCGGATATCTTCTATTTCTATCAATTGTACGGGTGACTGGATTGCCTTTGGATGTTCAGGTTTGTAAGTTGTTTGTTCTTTATTCCTGGGGAGGAAAAAAAAAAAAAAAAAGAAACGGTGGTGGTGTGCAAGCCTGAATTTTTCTTACTCCTCTTCTTTCCAAAAGTTAATGTTTTATTAAAACTTCATAGTCTGGTTGTATCTGAATAAAGTAAAGCATGTATCCCTAATGAATTTTCCCCTTACCTGATTCAGGGAAATACTTTTTTGATAAGGAGCAAAAGAAAAAGGAAATGATTACTCCAAAATCATATATGAAATCTGTAGCAAAATTGAATAAAGCCCATATTCTTTGAGTCTGACTCTATCTTTAGCGTAATAAATGATTATTTTTTTAGCTTGAAAAAATGAAGGATTCATAGTTTTGGTTAACTTGTCATCTGCATTTACAGGTCTGGGGCAGCTCCTGGTTTGGGAATGGCAAAGTGAGTCGTACGTGCTGAAGCAGCAAGGCCATTTCAACAGCATGGTGTCAGTAGCGTATTCCCCAGATGGACAGTACATAGTAACTGGAGGGGATGATGGCAAAGTAAGTGAGACGGCAGTGTGGAATAACGAGCATAAGTCTTAAAAACATGGAAAACAGCTTGAATTTCAGTTCTATGTAGGGAGCTCTATTATAGCAGCTGATGAGAATTTTTACTATTTTTCTTTTTCTCTCCACTTGGTATCCCCTGCAAACTGCATCACTTAGGCTTTCTAGTAGATAATTTTTAATGATTGCAGCTTCAGTCACCATAAACGCAGAAAAATCCAAGTTCATTTGTGCTTATTTACATGTTTGTGGTGGTTCTGTGATATATCAGAGTGCATGAAGTTGTCACTGAAATTCAGCCCTTTTAGTAGTTGGTTTTAGCATGAAATTCCTATTAAGTTCGTTATAAAAGTGCACTTTCTAAACATTTTTTTCTGTTACATACTATTGCAGAAGCTTGCTAATTAACAGAAAAATTAGCTTCTCATAGACTATTTGTCTTGAAGTAGTAGGTTAGGCAATACAGCTGCTGTTTTTATTCTGAAAGAAGATCTATTATAGAGTAATACTGAGATTTCTTGGAATATAAGTATAATTAATATACAGTACCTTCTGACATGCAGATTTGATGGGAAAGAAAAAAGATGCGCTGTTTCATAGTTTTTTGCCATTCCAATTTAAAATTGAAAAAGAAAAAAAAAAAAAACGAAGATTTTCGGGGGGTGTGTGTGTGTGTGTGTCTTTAGGGGTTTAATAATAGAATTTGGCTTTTTGCCTTGCTAGTACAAAATTCCTGCTCACCGATGGGACAGCGCTGTTTCAGAGCAATGCCGAAAACCTGGTTTTTGAATTTTGGAGCCGCAAACCCCTTGCGGAGTTTCAGGGCTAACTTTTCTTTACTACTCTCTCCTGCCTTAGCCATGCTTCCTAAATTTCCGGTGCAGATATTAAGAAGGCTTTTCCTGTGTGTGTCTCAGGTGAAAGTGTGGAACACGTCCAGCAGCTTCTGCTTTGTCACCTTCACGGAACATAGCAGCGGCGTCACCGCCGTAGCTTTCACTTCCAGCGGTTACGTCATTTTGAGCGCTTCCCTGGACGGAACGGTGCGGGCTTTTGATCTACACAGGTGACTCTTGTAACAAGCTTCTGTGTAATGTGTAGCTTTCTGCTTTCATCCCCTGAGATAACCCTGAACTGCTGGTTGCTGTTTTCAACAGCAGGTTGCATGAATGTGGGTCCTACTTGACTGCATAAATTGGGAACCCTATCACTGCAGCTAATTTCTTGTGGAAAAAAAAATTGGAAGATTTTTTTCAGAGAAGCTGGAAATCCAGTAAGATCATTCCCTGGCTCCATAATTCAAATTGGCAAAGGCGCCTGTCTAATTTTCATAGCTTGCTGTAATGGTTGAACTACTGTAGTGCATGTGTGTGCAGAATTGGGTGTGTAAACCCCATATTATCTAAGAAATGGGCATGTCGTATGCAATAGGGGAAAAAAAAGGCTTGTGGGTTTGAATATTTTTGGCTTATTTCTGCAAAGTCAATATATTTTCTAGTCTTGGACTCTCAATGAAGAGTTGTGTTATAAGCTCATGTAAAGTGAGCTTGAAGTTCCCGTGCCTTTTTCTGTTTTGTGTTATTTAAAACAAATGTCTCGCGTTATAAATTCATGTAGTTGATTTAAAAGCTGCTACAAGTAAAATACTTAAAATATCTGTTCTCACCTACCTAAATACTTTTTAAATGTATTTTTAAAATGTTTAAATGTATTTTCACCTTTCCAACAGATACCGCAATTTCCGCACCTTTACTTCTCCACGGCCAACTCAGTTCTCTTGTTTAGCTGTGGACTCCAGTGGTGAGATCGTGTCAGCTGGTTCCCAGGATTCCTTTGAAATATTCATCTGGTCCATGCAGAGTGGGAGGCTGTTGGATGTAAGGACGTCATGAAGATAGGACGTACCTTTGGGATTAGTTGGAGGGTTTGAATACAATATTAAATGTTGCATTGCTATGCAAGAATTGGAGCTAAGCTGCTTTATTCACAGCATTTTTTGATTCATTATATGGGAGCTATCAAGCTCTTTCTAGCTGATGAACGATCACAAGTATTTCTGTGCTTCTCATGGGACAAAAAAGATAGTCTACTCCCATTATTGTTCAGTGATACTTTTTTTCTGTATTTTCTTCAGGAAATGAAGAAAGCTTAGGTGCAGTCATAAGATCATAGAGACTGTGCACAGTCTTGCTGCAGCAGAGTGGGGGAGTGCTTACTTTTGAACAGATTTTTATGATGGCAGGGTTTAGTTACTTTATGTCAATTATTCTGAGATGACTTGGAGCTCAGCTCAGGGCTTAAAAACTGTGTTTTACTACTAAAAACTGTGAATAAAAGTATTTGAATTTTTCACTTGCAGGACATTCCTCATTCCCAGAGCAATGACTTGCTTCTTATCAGAGCAAGCAGAGGAACTGTTAAGAAAAAAATAATGCAGCATTCCTAAGTCTTAGTCTCTGAAGTTTGTTGTCAGGGGGGAAGACAGGTTTTTGGCGCAAGGTACTTAAGATGTGATGTCAGTCATGTGTGCACACGTAAGCAGGGTTTTGCCTTTGCAGCAGTAGCGCTGAAGTGAACTGTTTTTTTAGGTTTTCTGAAAATAAAATTTGAGAATTGATGGTGTGTGTTATTCTGCATATATAAAAGTAGACAAGTTAAGCAGGTTTCATTGTTGTATTTAGCTTTTGTTCAGTATCAAGTATATGAATTTCAGTTTATTTTACCTGATTCTGTGTTACCTTTTCTTGTTTGTTAGGTATTATCTGGTCATGAGGGCCCCATCAGCAGTTTGTCTTTTAACCCAGTGAAGTGTGTTCTAGCTAGTGCCTCCTGGGATAAGACTGTCAAGTTATGGGATATGTTAGACAGTTGGAGAACCAAGGAGACTCTGATGTTGAACTCAGATGGTAACCGTTTGTTATTTCATTCTGTGTTGAATATGTAAAGATAGACACGCTCCACTGTGTTTTTTTTTTTTTTTTTTTTTACAACATTTGATATACCCTTTTGATCAGATTTCCTTAGTAAAGCAAAAGTTGAGATCGTTCTTTATAATATTCAGTTTTTAGCACAAAAATCATTGTTATGTGTTACCAGCTGATTTTGTACTATTTAAGCATGATGTTTGACTCAGAAAAAGCGAAGTCACACATACTCTAAAGATTGTATTAATAGTTGAGACAGAAGTGCTACAAAAATACAGGGTATTTTTTAGAAAAGGATCTGACTGCATTTTTAATCATCTCTTCTCTGCAGTTCTTGTTGTTGCTTTCCGTCCTGATGGCAAAGAGCTTGCAGTTGCTTCTTTGAATGGACAGATAACGTTTTGGGATCATGAAAATGCAGTGCAAACTGGCTCAATTGAGGGAAGGCATGACCTCCAGATGGGAAGAAAGGAACTTGATAAAATAACAGCCAAACAGTCGGCCAAGGGAAAGTAAGTAAACTCGATAGCAGTGACAAGAGGATGCCACAGTTACTAATGCTTTTAAGATGTTGGGATTTTTTTTGTTTTGTTTTGTTTTTTTTTTTTTTTTTTTTTTAACAGAAGGTTTTCAAAGTTACATCGGCCTATTTTGATTCTGATGCAGGATTTTTTTTAGGTGCCTAACTTGATGTTTGATCAGACCCTTTTTGTCTTTTACTATGTTTCCTCACTGATCAGCATAATTTCAAGTGTTATTTTTCAGCAGTTACAACTTTGTGTTGCTGTCATGCAGTTAAGCTTCTCATATCAAGTAGTGTATTTCCTGAAAGAGATAGGACTTCAGTTTGTGTAGTGATTAGCATATAACTCCTAGCATGTAGAAAGTGGTTGTTTTTTAGAAAGGTAAATATGCTCTGCATTGCTGTCTAGTATGAATGTGAAGTAATCTTAAAAGGGCAGCAGCTACGTGCTGTCAAATACTGTGAGGTAGAAATCTTTCATTCTTCTCCTTTCCTCAGATCACACACTCTCTTCCACACTACTGCCCCTCCAAACAAAAGGAAAAAGGGAAAGAATTATTCAAAAAAAAATGTATTTCTTAGCGATCATCTGTCTCTTTAAAACATCGTATGACATTTTTTTCCTAGTTCTTCTGACCATCCTTAATTTTGTATAAGGTATAGTTGAGAGCTCGTTCCCTAAGCTGTCACATGTAAGCAGAAGTGTGGAAGCACTTCAGATAAGTTTTTGAAAGTTCTGAAGTGTTTGAGAGTCGTACTAAAGAAGTAGAAGTACTTGGTCATGGTAAAACTATTTTGTGTGTTAAATACATGTTACATAAACGAACAGCTCCATTTTTCCATGTCTTTACACTGTATTATGTCTGTTTTGAGCTCAGAGGTGGCACTGAAATTAACTGTTATTTTTTTTTTCTCCTAGATCTTTTACTACTTTATGTTATTCGGCAGATGGTCAGTCTATTTTAGCAGGTGGATTGTCAAAATTTGTCTGTATATATAACATCAAAGAACAGATTCTTATGAAAAAATTCGAAATCTCATGCAACTTTTCATTAGATGCAATGGAGGTACGTCAGCACATGGATCGGTTTTGTTTTGTTTCTTTTTTCCTAAAGACCTTGGTTCTGTATAGCATCTTGTTTAAGTGGAATTTGTGAATATTTGTTAAGTGTGGGTTCATTTTTCTTAGTATTGGACAGGACAGCTGTAAGAGAAAAGTATTTCTCAGAAAATAAAGTCTGCTGGGTTACAATGTGCTTGTCTTGGATGTGCAGAAGTCTTAAGCCTGATTAAGTCAGCAGTTGACTGAAGTTAATGAGATGATAATACAGTTTAAATGGCTGATATTTTCACCTAAGCTAATTTTCCCTGCGTTTCAGTTGACTGCTAGCAGAGAAATGCAGAATTTTAGAGTGGGCACAGGAGAGCATCACTGATCTGTTACAAATTCAGTGCCTCCCTGAATATCACCAAATGCAAAACTATGAAGTTCCTTTAAAAGTGAAATGGATGCTGAAAAGGAGTTAAGAAATCGTATTAAACTTTTTTTCCATTTCCTTACCTTGAAGATTAATGATTACCCTAGTGCTTTGGTGTTCATTTTGGGCTGTGTTTGGTGGTGGTTCCGAGTAAGTTTCTTTGACAGCGGTGAGGCAGGCGTGTTCTAGTGCTGCCCTCTGTTGTGCTAGTGTAGTTCAACATACAGCCTACAGGGTTAAAAGAAAAGAAAGAGAGAGAAAAAAAAAAAGGTCTTTTGTGTAGCTGCCTGGCTAAACAGTGGTCAGGGCTGAAGGAAGGAAGGAGTAAGAGCTCACCTGAGGAAACGGGGCCTGTATTGGCCAGAGCAGTATGATACTATAAAGCCCCAGTTGGAACTGCTTTGTGTTATTCTGAGGCCATAAGAGGTAAGTATTCTTGATTCTGATCAGTGTTTGAACACTGTTGCCTGATGTTGTGAAATAGTTGGTTTTCTCTGCAAATTATGAAGAATTTTTGGGAGAAAGTTAAAAGAAATAATCACTTGATCATGTAGTGGCTGTGTTAGAGAATTTTAACTTAGTCCAGGTATTTGACAAGAGATTCAATGTAGTGAATGGGATATGTTTCTAGGAGTACCTAGATCGAAGGAAAATGACCGAGTTTGGCAGCATGGCTCTGATTGATGAAGGCACCGGCGATGAAGATGGTGTTGCTATTCCTCTTCCTGGAGTAAAGAGAGGTAAGTCTCGATGATAAGTAGATGACTGTGGATTTTGCTTTCTTGTTTCTAATTTTATGTAAATCAAAACCTCAGACCTGAAGTAGATATCAGATATGGAGAGTTTGAATTGTCCAGCACAGTTTTCTAGTTATGATTACTCAATGTTCTGTTGCCACAGTGACCTGTTTCAAAAGTGGTAAGTGCATATGAGGATAGATTGTTTTGTGTAGAAGCAGCAATGGAAAACAGAAGGCCTCCTGATCTGTGGGATCTGAGACCCAGGAGACCTGAATTTGTTTTCCAGTTCCTTGCTTTGACTTTGATCTCTCCTATGATAGCGAGCAAATTTCAGTCCAGTCACTTCATTTAGTTTTTTAACTCTAAAATATCTTGGGCAAGGACTGTATGGTCTTTAACTGTACTGAGTTTTGGCCTATTCTTCATTATTTCTCAGCATTAGAATGATAGCGTAGTTACAGTTGTTAGCCAGACTGTGAACATTTGGTGTATGTAAAAATTCACTTCTGGATTTTTCTTGCAGGTGACATGAGTGCTCGACACTTCAAACCAGAAATAAGAGTGAGTTGCCTGCAATTCTCTCCTACAGGTGAGTATTGACATGGAATTCGGATTTTTTTTTTCTTTCACATACTACAAAAGAACAGAGCAATGAAGGAATAATAGCAAAGTACTTTGGAGATGGCTTTTCCAGGTGTTACTGGGTGCTGCTAGGTCTGTTCTGCTGCATGGTGGACATGTAGATAGTTTTAAGTGTACATTACTTTAGGCTGGTATTTTTCACCAGCATTTTATCATTAGTAACAGGCCCATCACTAACATGTGGTTTTCTGTTTCCCGTGTTGTGCAAGCAATTAAGGTTCATCTGCTTATCCTGGCTCTTGTGCTTCCATCCTAGAAGGACAGTTGTGTTCTTACCCACTCTTATTTCCCTCCTAGGCCGAAGCTGGGCAGCCACCACCACGGAAGGCCTGCTCATCTATTCACTAGACTCCGGGCTGATGTTTGATCCCTTTGAGCTAGATGTTGATGTCACACCCAGCAATATCCGCAAAATGCTGCATCAGAAGGAATACACTGTGGCTATCGTCATGGCTTTCAGGCTGAACGAAAAGAAATTAATTCAGGAGGTCATAGAGACCATACCTAGCAATGAAGGTAGCTGTGAAGCTTGTCTGACCTAATCGTAAGCTAAATAAGTTGAAGCCTAAAGGGCAGAGGTGTTTAGCACTTTATTGCTGCTTGTTTTTCTTTTTCTTTTTTTTTTTTTCTTCAAGACTTGAAGCTTTTTATTTATTGTGATCTAGTTAAAGAAGGGGTGTGTTTATCAGTTTACGACAAATGCAAACTGTTTAACCTCTGTGTTAAAAGGAAGAAAACTCTTCCTTAAATAGAGTAGCTATTGGAAAGCTGAAATCGGAAAGATTTGTTTCGTCCTGTGCCCTTATCTGAAGTATTATGCTTCAAATAGTTGCCATTCTCCTTCCCAATATGTGTTCCTAGGCAATCTTTCATATTGTTCAGTTCCATATTAATGTCTTTGCATTTTTTCCCACAGTTGATGTTATATGTTCCGCACTCCCAGATCTGTATGTGGAGAAGTTACTGGAGTTCCTGGCCTCTGCCTTTGAGACATCTTGTCACTTAGAGTTCTATCTTATTTGGGCTCATAAATTGCTCATGCTACATGGACAGAAACTAAAAACAAGGTGAACTCTTGTGGAAGTCGAACTGCTGGCAGGCATTTGGAAATGTATTGTCAGCAAGGGGCTTTTCGTATGTGATACAATTAAAAGTCAGTAGCCTTTTGTTTGGTATCATCTTAAAATGTTCATATTTAGAGTTTAACATTTATATTTCTTTTTTTATTTTGAGAGTGCAGAAAAACTCTAGGCTTTCACATGTGCAGTTTGCAATGTAATTTATAGTAAATTTTCTTCATTCAAGGTCAGAAAAGCTGCTCCCTGTGCTCCAGTTTCTTCAGAAGAGCATCCAACGTCACTTTGATGATGTTTCCAAACTGTATGTATAAGTCATACATAGGAAGTTCAAACCATAATCCTTCATTTAAGGGTGGAGTAATTTGGGAGCTGTTTGGGAGAGTAACATTAGAGATTTGAAAATGGCCTTCTTACAGAAGGCCATTATTGCTTTTATTTTAAGAAAAAAAATATTTTTTTTACTTCTACTTCTTTGGAGAAAAGTAGAATTTTGGGGGGAGAAAAATTGAATGCTACTTCTTATTTTTTGCAGCTGTGAATGGAATATCTACAATATTAAATATGCTTTAGCCATTTCGCAACAGCGAGGCATGAAACGTCTGGCAGACACATCAGAAGAGGAAGGAAACATGGATTCTGACAGTGATTATGTTATGCAAGACATTAATAAGGAAAGTTTTAGTTCCTAGTCTTCACGAGAAGAAGAAAACTTAAGAGAAAAGGTTTTTATGCAGTGGTATTCACTGAGACTGAATGGCTCTTATAGAGGCATAATTTCACTCTTTAACAGCATGGACGGTGTTACTTGCAAGTTACAGAGGTTGGTTAAATTTAGGATGGACAAAGTGCTGTCTATAGTATGGTGTGAAATCCAGTGAAGTTCCAGTAATTAGGATGAATAACATACCTGTACCAACAAATATGGGAACAAAGTTACTGTGCTGTAGAACTTCTCCAGGGATTGATTTAATAATCTGAGATAATGTTCTAAATATTTGTTTGTAAACTGCCAACTCAATAATGTAACCTAAACTGTAAGTGGGGGGAATGTGTTACAGATGTTTATCATTCCTTCAAGAAAGTTTGCTTTTGTTTTTTTAGATGTTGTTCATTAAAATAACAAAATCTGAATTTCTTCCTTCTTTGCTTTTGTTGGATCGGCATGGGAGTTGGGCAATGCTGACACTGAGGTCCTGAGTACAAAAAAGAAAAAAAATGCTTGGAGTGTTTCCAAGCTGCATCTTGAAGAGGCTTTGCAAATACTAACACTGAGCCAGTGGTGGGGCGGGTTTGTTTTGTTCAAGTGCTCAACTCTTTATTTAAAGAGAGGGGAGAGGGCATTGCTGAAAACTGCTTCGGGGGAAAAAATGCCTCCAAAACACGCAGCAGACACATGCAGGTAGTTTATAGGAGTTCAGAATATAAAGATACTCTTGCTACTTAAAATGAATACAAAATAGCATTTTTTTCTCAGGGTAACATTTAAAAAGTGCCTTCAACTGTGGGCAGCCTCTGCTAAGTGTCATGGTCACAGCTGTGGTTCAGTGTGTCGGACAGCAAAGGGGTGAAGGACAGTGGGGCTGGAGAGGTACTTGCAGAAGTGCCCTGTGTTCAAAGAACCACAGAACCGGTGAGGTTGGACGGGACCTCTAGAGATCACCCAGTCCAACCCCTCTGCTCCAGCAGGGACACCTAGAGCATGTGGCACAGGGCGGCATCCAGGGGCCTTTGGAAGATCTCTGGAGAAAGAGACTCCACCTGGTGCTGGGTTAGGTTTTGGCATCGCTTCGTGTTCCCTGCCTCCTCCCTGCCACCGTGGGAGGCAGAAGTGGCAGCAGGGAAATGTCTGACTAGGGCAAAAAAAGGAGGAGAGAAAATCTGTATCAGAGTGCTTCTAAGACTCCGAAATGCCTAACCTGGCAGCCATACTAATGCATGTGTTACTCCGTAATCCCTTTTACTGTTCTTATTGTGGTTTTATTCTTGTTGTGCTCTTCAAGAAATAGAATCATTATGGTCGGAAAAGACCTTCACGATCATCGAGTCCAGCCCTAACCCCATCCCTACCAGGCCTGCTAAACCGTGTCCCTCCGCGCCTCATCGCGCGTTCCTTGAGCACTGCCGGGGCCGAAACAGCGTCGCGTAGCCCCTCCCGGCCTCTGGGGGCGCCGC